ACGTTCTTGTGGTTGGCTCTTAGGACTTTATGTAACTCTTTGGGTTTCGACATGAACTAAAATAAGCAGGCGTAAAGTTTAACCTTTAGGAGGGGTTCAGAAGTCATCCAAGACTAGTCCCATACTTACCATGTATCATACACTTTGCCCCCGAAGTACCTTTTCAGGAGGTACCTTCAAGCGCAAGTATATACTTGGTATTGTGTAGGTGCATACGGCCATATACCTAGAGCCTACACAAGCCTTAGCCTAACGGTCCATGTACCCATATAGTATATACGTTTGCCCTCAAGTACTGACAGAGTAATCTCTTGAAAGCCAAAGTGTAGACTGTCTAGGTACATGGATCCTTAGCCTTACAGAAGAACCCTAAACCCTAAACCCCTAAACCCTAAACTTACCTTTGGTTAGTAGGGAATGGAGGAATGGGGTACAATGTACAAACCAATGAACCCTAAATCCCGAAGGTACATGGATCCTTAGCCTTACAGAAGATCCCTAGACCCTAAACCCCTAAACCCTTAAACGGTCAAGGTAGTGAGGCCCCCAAGACCCTTCCAGAGCCCGGAGTCGGACGCCTCACAGGCGACAGGGCTGAAACGGTCTTACCGCCAACCCCCAAGCCCTACTAAAGGATCCTAAATATTTACCTATGTTTTATTATTATTAATATTATGGTTAGGGTTCCTTATTATAATTTACAGTATAATCGGACCCAAAACCCTATTCTGATGATTAAGGCCCCTTTAAAAAGGCCTAAGCTCAGCAACACTCTAAACCCTGCCTTAAACTACCATTAGCTATTGTGCTGTAGGTTCTTGTGACAAAGCCCTACACAGGAATTCGCCGGGACCCTACGAAAAAGAGGTTGCGGTAGCTCTTAAAGTATTTTTGCATGTTTACAACTAAGGAAACCTGCACCTCACCACCACAGAAAGTGCACCACAACATCCAAACCCCCATATGGTTTAAGGACCCGAAACCCCCAAAACAAACTCCACTCTCAACCCTAACGCCTACCTGGACCCCAAGTAACCTACCTTTTTTCAGGACGTATAGACGGATATCTTACTATAGGGAAGCCTAGAAAGGAGGGTTTGGTAGGGTCCAGAACATAATAATACTAGTAGCAATAATACTTATAGTGACAATAATAATAATACTAATAGTAACAATGATAATATTTATAGTGAGGGCTTAGTGGACGCTGAAACAGCCCCAAGCCCGAACTGGAAAACCTTGTCCTTCACCCCCGGCCTCCATATCCGATCCGCCAAACCTTGAACTCCAAAGCCTTGTGAACCCCCTATCAACCTCTAAACCCTAGACCTTAGCACCCCCCACCCCCGCACCAAAAACCAAGAAGTACCCTAAACCCTGTGTTCCTAAATCACCCACCCCCCCCAAAAAAAAAAAAAAAAAACATACAACTCTACATTAGCCTAAACCCTAAACACCTCCTTTTGTATTGCATCACTGACCCCAATGAGGAGACGGTGGAGGTGGAAGGTTTGGTCATGAAATCCATGGAGAGGACCGGGCTAGTGGTTTAGGGCTTTTAGGGTTGAGGGATGTTTGGAGAGGGCTGAGCCAGTGGTTTCGGGCTTTCAGAGTGTAGGGTTTAATACACCTCAAGAATTACCTATACTATGTTGGGCTCAAGGTTTGGGGTATTTCTGAAACATGTTGCAAGGATTTTACATGGATCTTAATGCTTCGGTTCGGCTCTATGCCAACGTCTCATTTCCTCTGGAGGTTCTCCCTGAAAAGGCGCACGGTCTTGTAGAATGTGAGCTCGTTAGATGCCCCTGAACATTGGAGATGGTGGGGCGGGGGGGGGGGGGGGGGGTCTAAAGTCTTACTAAACTGTCAAAATGCCTGCCGGCACTGCCGGGCCTCTCCCGTCATCTGGACACCACGGCTTGAGGTCCAGCATTCAGGGATCTTTGCAAGCTTGTCACGAGGGGTTCGCTTCAGCTTAGTTCTCTTCTGCCTCCTTTAGTTGTAGCTTCTGATTCTCCCAAAAGAGCTTCCTCCCAAGTGCCAGAAGAAGACCTTCTTTGAAGCAAGAACTGCTTCTTGGAAGGTGGGTTCGATGGCAGCCCGCCCGCTCTGCGGATCTTCCAAGGCCCTAACCCCAAACGTTCAGACCTCAATACCCCAAAGCCTCACAACCTTCCCCCTAAACCCTCAAGTCCTGAACCACCAAACATCCCTAAACCCTATAGCTCTGAAAGCCCTTAATTACGGGCCCATTGACCCGAACCGGCAGTCCGAACCTATATCTTCGAGCCGCCACCTGTGGATCCTACTGATTTAGGGGTCAGACCCTATAACTTTAGTGTCATAACCCATTATGCTGTAGGGCTAAGTAATCCCTGAAGCCTTGGATGGACTTGTTAGTCCCTGGGTCCCTATTATCTTTAATTATGAGAAAACCCTCTTCTGGAGCTTAGTCTGATTGATTGCGGAATTGCAGCCCCTATGTTATTCTAGAACCATTGATCCCTTTTGGAACCCTTGAAGGAATCCTGTTCGAATCATTACGGCCCTTATTATAGCAGTAATTCCCTAAGCCCTTATATATATATATATATATACATATGTATGTATATATATATATATATATTTAACTGTTTGTTTATATTTATCTGTATATATATATATATATACATATTTATCTATATTTAGTAACCCTTATCGAACCCTTTAAGGGAACCCATACAGGAATCCTATTCTGATTATGGGCTACATGCCACTGTGTCCGTGACAAGGAGGGAGCGCCCCAACCGAAAGCGATGAGCGACGGTGATTGAGGTCGCTGGGTGCAGAAGTGTAGGCTCTAAAGGGGGTATAGGGATTGGGGTTAGGAGGTATAGGGGTTTAGGATTTAAGGTTTTAGGGTTTAGGGTTTTAGGGTTTAGGGTTTAGGGTTCAGGGGGGGTTATAGTGAACTGCAGAAAGTTGGAACATGGATTTAGGAGGATCAGTGCTAGGATTCCACAACATTTGCTGTAAGGGCATGAGGCTAGTGATGTTCCAACTTTCTGGCTTCTACTGTAAGGGGTTCAGGGCTTAAGAGCTTTAAGTGGCTTGAGGTGCAAGGTTTAGGGTTGGGGTAGGAATAGTTCGTGCATAGATTTCCTTTATGTCACATCCGTCTATACTTAAAGTATTGTACAATGAACAATGAACTTCAAATCTTATTCAGATGATGAAGGTCCTCATATTGCCTGAAGCTTAAACCCGAAAGCCTAAAACTCTAAACCTCAGACCCCCTACTAACTCTCAAAGCCCGAGTCCACCCAAACCCTCCTTCTCAAAACCCCCCAACCCTCCTTCTCAAAACCCCCCAACACCCTAAGCCTCAAACCCAAAACCCTGAAAGTCCATAACCCCCGACCTGGTATTGTATTACTAATTCTATGACTGTGACCATGACAACCACGATTATTACTATCACTATTGCAGGGGTTCTGTAGTCTCTGGCTGGATCCGAGAGCCCGAAGCCCTGCACATCCAAGCTGAAGACCCACATGTCAAGACAATAGCAGTAAGCAGTAGCAGTAGCAGTAGTAGTAGTAGTAGTAGTAGTAGTAGCGATATAAACAACACGACGTGATACTCATAGTAAGAGTAGGAGTAATACCGTAAAGCCAAGGACTGTAGAAGGAAACTACGATAGGGAGCCCTGAAGAGGGATAGACTTCCGTTAGAGTTCAGGTAGGGTTTTGGATCTGCTGGATTCGGGGAATGGGATTGGATGGCTTGCACCGCCGCTTGCGCAACTTGAGTGGCCCGTTCAAAAAGCTGCCCTTGCTGCCCGTGTTTCGTAGCAATCGCTTGCACCACGCAAGATCGCACACTGTAGGTAGAGAAAGTTCTGAGTTGCCAAATCCGTAAGGCACCATATTTCACCATAAAGCCTTCGACATCATCATTACAGTTGAGGATACTTGACCTTTCATGCGACCTCCAGTGCTAAGGCTTGACAGAGCGCGGGTAATTTTCTGATGACACTGTGTGTGATTATGCAGTAGAGACATGACTAGCGGTGTTTTAGCAGTTTCGGGTTTAGGGGTTGGTAAGGTTGAGGTTTACGGGGTTAGAGAAATCATAGGAGTGAGGGTGGATGGGAGTGGAGCGTAATTACGAGTTAAGCTTTCGAGATCTTAGCATCGATCGATGAAGCTTCGGAGTTCACCGGGGGCGCTGCCTTGTAGCATTCGCCTCTTGCAGCACGAGGTTTACAAAAAGCAACCAGTCTATATAGTTATGGATAATCGTGCCTCTCAAGATACTTTGATTTGCATAAGTATGTACTTTAGCCAGCCCATAGGCCACCCAAGCCCTTATACCCGGAACGTCCTGGAACCCTGAGCCTAAAACATTGATTACGCCCTAAATGCGATAAGCCTTACTTCCCCAAACCCCAGACCACAAATCGAGGATTCGTGGAAGAACTTTGTGGGCTTCGGGTTGTAGGATTGTGAAGGCGCTTTACAACTACGGAATTTACATGTGGGCATCCGGTGTTCACCTAGCTAGGGTTGAAGGTTAAGGGTTATACCTGAGGACTTTAATAGGGTCTGTATATGAAGGATGCCTTGTGAATGTTTGTTTCCTCATTTTGGGGTTCTTTGGTTGGAAAAGGCATGCACTAGATACTAAGGTTTCTCTTCAACTGTGTCGTTTATTTAGGTTGGAGGGCTCTACAAGGGCGATATAGGGTCATATATGTCTAGAGATAGACAGGAATAGTGGTTCATGTTTTGTTAGGGTTTGCTTGGTTACCGATCCTCACAGTACGGATCCCAGATCCTGCCCTCCTTTGCTGCCGGATCTCCTCTCAGGGACAGACTCAGGCAGAAGTCATCAACAACAGCCCCGAAACCCGCCGACCCACCCGACCCAACACTCACCAACCAGAAACTTTGAGCCACTGATCCAGATAGCCCAAAGTAACGAAGATCTGTCATCCGCGTTTTGCCCCTTCAAGCATGGCAGACGATGAGGACGACGAGGACGGTTGGCGGCACTTAATATAGGGGCCTTAACCATTGCCTATACTATTTTGGGTGGTTCCTTCTTATCAGTTATCGTAAATCGGCCCCCTAAAACCCCATTCTATCGATTAAGGTCCCTACGCCATAGACCCCTACTATAGATCCCTTATAGACCCCTTTATGGATCCCCTTTAAAGGAGCCCTGTCCTATTTATCAAGGCCCCTACATTTAAAAAATGTGGAGGATTGAAGGGTGGAACCCTCAGGACCGTCTGAGACCCTGTAAGGCCTAAGCCCCTGATATGGTTGTCAAAATTAGAGGTCCCTTTTGGGGTACCCTAAATAATAGATAACAGCGACCCAAGTAGGGACCGTAATTTTGACAACCACCCATATCTAAACGCCCGTGAACCCACAACTGCTATCGATATCCACGAGGCGCCAGAGGCGACGCATGATGTGATGAGACCGCGAAGACTGGCAGAAACATCCGCCATTTGCGATGGGTTCTCGCGCTGAACAGCTGAACCGAGCGAAGTCTGTCGGTTCCTTACGGCCCCACCCAGCCCCAAGTCCCAAACGGCGGAAGGCCTATACAATCAGAGCCTTATGAAGCCTTTGCCCTCCCCCGGAGCCCTTGCAAGTCCTTACAAGTACTATAGGGCCTCAATAGTAATAATAATAATTACCAACACTATTTTGCGGTTCCTTACTATGATTGTAGTATACTGGGCCCTGAAACCCTATTCTAATTACTATTACTATTATTATTATTATTGTTATTGTTATGAAGGCCCCGAAGCAGGGCTGAGAACCAGACAGATCATGCAGGAGCTGGCGCAGAAGGAGATCTACTCCTATGACACCAGGCTTGCGGCCTTCTACCCGGGGCCAGGGGCTTGGTCTGGAAGCTTCCCGGGCGCCCCGAAGGGCCTTCAAGGTTTAGGGTTTAAGGTTTACGGAGGTTTAAGGCTTAGGGTTCAGGGTTTAAGCCAGGACCCCCAAGGGCCCTTTTATGGAGTCCTTGTGGCCCTTAATAGTGCATATTTGGGTATATGTTAGGGGTCTAGGTTTTTGCTATGGTAACGTAATGATGATATCATGTCATTGTTAAGTAACAGTTTAACAATACGAGTGTGAATAGTGACAGTCTTACAATGGTTGCAAATTGACAATCGTGATCATTACCCCCCCCCCCTACGAAGTTGGCGAAATCTTGATGATCACCGTGGACAATGTCCCCGTTAGGGTCTAGAGGGAGCCCGACCCAAAGAAGCGACCTCATCGTCGAGATCGAAGCCACGGTGCTGACCAGGATTTTTAACATGCTCGTTGATGAGTTGGGTGAGTGCTTCCACACTGCGAAGCCAAGCTATAAGCGAAAGGTGAAGCCTAAAATTGATGATGATAGGGTTTAGGTGTTTAGCGGTTTAGGGGTTTAGGGTGCGCATAGGGTTTAGGGTTTAGGATTTAGGGTTGAGGGTGATGATGATGGCTCCTCCTCCTCCTCCTCCTCCTCCTCCTCCTCCTCCTCCTCCTGTGCCTAGTGCTGTCACGACGACGGCCACTGCAGCTGGAGCTATTTATACTTATAAGAATAAGCAGACGGAGGGTTGAGCAGACGAAGAACTGCCATCGCGTTCAGCATCATCTTCACCATTATCATCATCATCATCATCATCGTCATCATCCCCTAAACCCTAAACCCTAAACCCTAAACCGTAATCATCATCAATGTCATCGCTCCCAGTCCAACGCCGGTAATGATGGCATAAATGTACTAAGTAGATTTTTGTAGTGAGCATAGATACGACTTGTAATGTTTGGTGTTTCTTGCCAGCTTCAGCGTTTACATGTTTCAGGTACATATTGACCTTTGGGCTTGTGGGTTTGTGTAGCATCTAGTTTCGTCTTTGCGATCTACCGGTTGATGGTTTAGCGCGGGTCTGGTAACTGGTTAGGGGGTTTAGAGGTTTCGCGCTTAGTGTCGAAGCTTTTGGTTCGGTTTTGTGCTTGTGACCCTAAGCCACTACCTTAACCTCACACAAACTACCCTATTGCAGACATGTGTAGAGAAGTCTTAACAAGGAGGCCGCCTCAAACATAAGTTTCAGAGGGTTCAGGGTAGACCCTGAATGCCTGAACGCTAAACTTTAAACAGGAACTCGACCCTGATATGGAGAGATTACCATGGCGCAACTTCGTCCCAGGCCGGACCTATCGCTGAACCAGGGGGGGATTGCGTATGCGGCCGCTCTGAGCACGTGCATCGCTTAGTGCCTTGAGGACTTTGTGGTGTTGGGGCTTTACTATCCACCTTGAGGACTACATGTACACGAAACCCTAAAGCGCAACTGCCATACAGGGACTCATCTGGAGGTTTTCGCCACAGGACTCTGCGTGTCGAAAGTGTAAGTGGTCATCAAGGTGGGCTTTTGGTTTTCGGGCTTTGAGGCCAGGGCAAGTGTCGCTGTGCACAGGTTTGCATCAATTTAGATGTTGTGGGGTTGCAGGTTTATTTCTTGAAAGGGACCTTATGAAGAGAGTCTATGCCCCCAAAGGTCCCCCTACTCCTAACTCCCAATCCTATAACACCCATTATCGAACCCTCATAGACACCTTGAAGGATCCCTTTCAGGAAACCCTCTTAAAAGGAACTTTACTATATCCTCAAGGCTCTTTAAGGGAACCCGCTGAAGGAACTTAGCATATTCCCGCACACCCTAAAACCCTAAACCCTAAAACTCTAAACCCAACAACCCAAACTCCAGGCTAATTGCCTCATCGGCATGACTTCGATGGATCCTAAATTCAATTTATGTTTCCGAAAATGTGGGGTACCTTAGGGTTCCTTCAAAAGGGTTACTAGTTTAGAGTCCTTATAATAAGGATCCTACTCTTTAGTGTTCTATGTTAGGGTCGCCTATTTTCGGACCTTCAACACTCCGAAACCATGTCGTAAGCAGAGCTGTGGGTGTCATTGGGTTTGCGTAAACTGGTTCGCTAAGGCTCCAGGTACCCATATAGTATATACTTGGGCCTTAAAGTACGCATACATGGAGTCTTTCGGGTTTAAACGTAAACCCTATGCCCTAAAACCGAGAAGTAAACCCCAACAGTTTTCGTTTTGCTGTTTCTTCGGAGCCATGGATCTTCGGGCAGAAAGCGGCGCAAAGCCATTGCAAGATCCTGCAGAACTTAACTCAATTGATAGACAATCCGTTTTGAAGCCCAAGTAAAACCAGTATAAACATACATATACATATGCTTATACATGTACATATACATATACACGGACACATAGACATATGCTTTCGCATACGCATACACATGTATATATATATATATATATATATACACCCCTAAACCCTAAACCCTAAACTGTTCTATACATATATATATATATATATATGTACATATCCGATCCATACAATGAAAGTCTATTGAGAATCAACCCAAACCCCACGGCCTGAACCCTGAACCCTGGCCCCTAAATCCTGAACCCTAAACCCCACTTAAAAAAAAAAAAAAACCTAAATCCTGAACCCTAAACCCCTAAATCCTGAATCCCAAACCCTGAACTCCTAAACCCTAAGCCCTGAATCCTGACTCTCACTGCGACGGCTTGTAAGGTTGTGCTACAACCAGGCTTACGACCTCATCTTCAGTGTCAAGGACAGGTTAGGGTCTAGCTGAAGGTCAGGGTCCAAGGTTTTAGAGTTCAGGGTGTGCGCAAGACCTTGAGGGGATACATCTTGCTCCCCCTACAGTCCCAAAGGGTCCTATGTACCGATATTGTAGGGTTTCTAGGAACTACTAATATGACTCAGGGAAGTATCCCCCATAACCGTACGTAGGACCCTTTGGGAGTATGTGCTGAGAAGCTTTTCGACTCCCTGGGGCCAGCGGCTGCTTTCGTGTCCCGACGTCTTCCCGATACTATACCCTAAGGCTCCATGCACCCATATACTAGATACTTGGGCCTTAAAGTACCCATATAGGGACCCCTTTGAGGCTTAAGTACCTACTAGGTGGGCACATGGAGCCTTAGGGATAGCGGCCTAAATAGGTATTTCCAGTGCTATTGCGGGGGTTCCTTCTTGTGATACCCAAAAGCCCTAGTCTAATTATTCAGGCCCCTATGATACATGCCCTCGATGTCAAGGGTTGCAAGAGCCGTCTCGGAGCGGGGAAACGTGTATCCGGCCCGTACTTTACTACCGAGACGACAGCCCTCCTGGGTCCTTTAACAATCCCAATGTCTCCATCTACCTTGATAGTAGATACTTAAGCCTTGAAGACTTGAAGGGGTCCCTGCATGCGTACTTTTAAGGTCTAGGTATATACTTTTTGGGTGCGTGGAGCTTAGGGAATAAATCCGAAGCCCCAAAATCCCGAATTCCTCAAATCCCGAGTCCCTAAACCCCAAACGCCTTTGGAACCCTAAACCCATAACCTGTAGAACCCTAACTAAACGCCTTTGAACCCTAAACCCATAACCCTGAAGTCTCAGCCGCCAGCTCGCTCCAGGGCTCGACGGTCTTAGCTTACGCCGGGCAAGACTTCGTCAGGGGCCCGAGTGGGTTTCGAACTCTCTTCGCTTATTTCGGTTCTCGGGTTGTTTAGTGTTTAGAGTTCAGGTTGTGGATCCAAAAACTGCAGAGACTATGGACCTATGTACTGTGTGCAGGATTAGATAGACAGTAAAATCATGGCTCATCTCCTGCTGCATTGTAGGATCTGAGGCCGTATCTTAGGGCAAATGCTTTGGATTGGCAGCTTAGGCTTGTAAACCCCTAAGCCCTAAACCCCTAAACCCCTAAAGTGGCGGGGATTTTGCGGATTTCGGGTTCAGGTAGGGTTTGATGTTGGTGGAGTTTGATTGCGGCTCATTGCCTTGATCTCGGTGTTTCAATTTGGGAGTTTCCGAAAATTAGGGGTACCTTATTTTGGGGTCCTTGTAGTAAGGATCCTACTATTTAGAGTGCTGTATTTAGGTCCCCTATTTTCGGAAACTCCCATTTTTCAGCTCAGCCACGAATAATGCTTCTTGCCACAACCCCTGAACACCCGACCAAACAGAGCCGTTCCAATTCGCCGCAACGCTAAGCGCCCAACCGTCAACACTGGAACGTCTGTCACCGTAGGATCCACTTCCAACACACTTCAGTATGAAGGCGCCTCACGAGTAAGAGTAGGTTTTGAGGGTATATTATACTATGCCTGCAACAAGAAACCACCGAAATAGTATGGCTAGCTTTGCAGGCTTCTAATTTACAAATTAGCCGCCAAACTCCCCTCAATCGCAAACCCGGCGCACGAGGCTCCCAGAGAAGGACAGACAGATCGAGAAGAGGGAAGCCGGCCTTAAACCATTCCCAAAGCTACCAAATCTCATTGTTGATCTGATTGGCTCCAAGCTCAACTTTTCAACTTCTGGGGTACTTATAAGGTAGTCGATTCTGAAAGTTTCAACTTTTTGTCCTTGGGTTTTGGGCCAGTGAGTGATAGGGTCTTTATACAAGGCTCAAAGCAAGAATTCCTCGGGACTGTGGTAACTCCGAGCCAATTCAACGCAAGGTCCAGGAGAATTGGAGCAAACAGCACGGAAGTGACCTCACCACAAATCCAAAATGCCCGGACCTCGGGATTACGAGTTTCGGGTTTTAGGGTCTGCCGAGTTTCGGGCAAACTCTAGAAGCTGTTGCATGCGCTGTTGCTTGGAATTCACTTCGGAAGGTTAGTTTGCTGTTTAAACAGCAGCTAGGGTGTTTTGGTAGGGTGTACCCTAAGGGTCCAGGTATCTCCCTAGGAGGGTCCGGAATGTCCTAGGGAGAGTCCTTGGGCCTCTTTGGGGTCTCAGAAACCCTAAATTTTGAGGTTCTCCATTGTGTTAGGACCCTTAGGGTAGTTGGTGTCTAGGCGAGGGTTAAACTCAAGCTTGAGAGGCTGGAGCTGAGGACATACGGGTCTGTTTCTGACTCAGGAATTCTGACTACTAGATCATCTAAGCCTTCAGCATTGAGCACTAATCCTGAAACCCTCAACCCACAAACCTAGACTCTAAACCCACCCTAATCCCTTAACCCCAAACCCTACCTAAACCATTCCCTACCCTCCCCTACCCTACCGTACCCCACCCTGCCCTACCCTACCCAACCCTACCCCCCCCAACTGCCCTTTATCGTAGCGCCTACCTCTTCAAGAGAACTCTCAGAGCCCTTTAAACGAACTTGACCCAAAGGCTCCATGTACCTTTATAGTAGATACTTAAGCCTTAAAGGGGTCCCTATAATGGTACTTTAAGGCCTAAGTATATACTATATGGGTACATGGAGCCTTAGGGTGAGGGTTCCTGGTGAACCCCAAACCCTAAACCACAGACGGAAAACAGCCCTCAAAAAAAAACACCAAAGCCTGAGATGCATCGCTGTCCGAGGCATCTTCCAATTCGACAGCGTACCCTCGCGGATATCAGTGAACCAGGAGCTTCATCGAGGGTAATTAGGGGCTACAATAAAGGGGTAGTTGGGGGCGGGGGTTTGGTTTACCAGGAACCCTTAAGTACCCATTAAAGGGCTCTGATAGTTCTCATGAAGGGGTAATTAGGGGCTGCAATGAAGGCTAGTTGGGGGTTTCAGGTGGTTTTGGGGTTAAGGGTTTAGAGTTTAGGTTTTGGGGTTGAGGGTTTAAGGAACCGAAGGAAAGTTTGAACATTGATTAAGGATGATTCGTGCTGGGATTCCCTATACTTTTCTTTAAGGGCATGAGGATAATAATGTTCCACCTTACTGGCTTCTACTTTATTGAAAGGCTCTTACAGTCTTACAGGATTGTATTAAAATTATAAGGGCTCTAGACAAAAAACATGTTAGGGTTCTAACTACAAGGGCCTTAATGAAGGGCTCCCTACAGGATTGTATTCTATGGCGTTCTATGATTCATAGGCTTCTATACTTACCAGAGCCTTTATGAAGGGCTCTTTACTTGGTATTACAGGGATTAGACTTTAAGGGCTCCACACTGATTGTGTAAGGTTCTCATTACATGTTACGAGAGGATTTATTTTACAAGGGTTCTGTTCAGACATGCTTACTTGTTTTCGAAAATGAGAGGACGGCCCAGCCTTGCTGTGCGTGGCCTGCGCTGGTGGCCAAGTGCGAGAGACTAAGCGGTGCCGAGCAAGTTCGTGATTGCGCACAGTAGTGTTTGGGGTTATCGGATCTCGAGTGTTTACCCTAAGGCTCCATAGTAGTTCCTTGTTGGGAGTTGTGGGGGTTCATATGGGTAGTTGTCAAAATTATGGCCCCGTTTTGGGTAGTTACCCTAAATATTAGGTGCCGTACTATCATAGGGACCCAAACAGGGACAATATTTTTGACAACCACCCATATTTAGAATCCTATAAGGTACTCCCAAAAAGGAACTACTATGGAGCCTACGTAGTTATGGGCAAGTCTGTTATCATGCTGACCCTAAACCCAAATGCTCGCGGTAGGTTTCTGCCCAGAGACACTCCAATATCCTTTATTCAAGGATTATACCTTAAATCAGATTAAGGATCTTACTATAACTTAAGGTATATCTTCCTTCATTATAAGGATCTTACTATAACTTAAGGTATATATTCCTTCATTAAGGGATATCGGAGTCTCTGGGTGGGGTCTTGGATCCGAGACCCCCAAGTGGATGTTTTTTCTTGCGACATAACTTACAGTAGAAGCCAAAAAGTTGGAAACCCACTGGCCTCAATCCTTAAGAGTAACGTAAAGGGAATCCCAGCACTATTTGGCCTTAATGAGGTTTCCAACTTTATGGGGTTTACTGTAGTTCTCAATACCCAATCTTTAAACTTCTTGGCTTCTTAAAGTTTGCTAGTAGTCTGAAAGTTTAACTCTTTTTTTTGTCTGGCTTGTTGGGGAAGTAAGGTAAGTCTCTCGTCGGATTGGGAAGGAAGCTGCATTGAGCTTGAGTCTCTCATTGACAATAGTATTCCTTGTGGTTACCGACTGCGAACTTTACTATTCAGAGTACTAGCCCCAAAAGCCACACTCTGACTACAGTAAACCGCATAAAGTTGGAAACCCGATTAAGGCGAAAGGGTGCTGGGGTCCCCTATACATTAATTACTCCTAAGAACTGAGGCTAGCTATGTGGTGGGGTTTACTGTAGCTGCAGGCCTCCATGTAGGATTCCGCCAGTGGCCCTGAGGGTCCAAGGTTGCTGCTGCATGAGGCTCAGGCTGTGCGTGGTTTCGGATGCGCCCTTCAACTCCTGATTCATAAACCCTTTGAAATACTGTTTGTTGATGGACAAAATCCTGCATTACCCATTCTTTGGGAATATACAATAATTCCCATGGTTTCGGGTCCTTAAGGTAATGCAGGATTTTGTCCATCAGCAGTATGCAGGGGTCCGAGTAATGATTAGCAGCTTGATTAGAGTTGCGGCTTTATAGCGACCATGGATCTGCAACGGCTTCTGCATCACGAGTCCACACAGTTGAATAGTATTCATAATCTAGATATGTTAGGACCTTAATAGTAGCCCTACTATAGACTCTTACTGTAAGGGGGCCGTACCTAACCTAACCTAAGCCCTTCAAACCCTTAGGCCCTCAACGCGCAGCCCGTAAACCCCAAATGCTCAACCGTTTGCCTTTCGAAGCTTCGGCTCCTTTGGCCTGCGAGTGCTTTGGTTTAGGATGCACAGAATTTCGGGTTTAGGGTGTATGGGACGTATGCTTCAAGTGGGTGGTTGTCAAAATGTTGGACCCCTTTTTGGGTCTCTATTATAGTACGGCACTATTTAGGGTACCCAACAAGGGACCATAATTTTGACAACCACACAAGTGTCAAGCTTGAATCACGGTAGTGCGAACCCGACATCCGGAGAGCGCGGTGCCCCTTCGATACCTTGCATCATCTTCCGAAGGTCCAAAATGAAACAGACTTAAAGGTTAAAGGTATATTCCGTAGTTCAGGTAAATTGAACTTCCTCAACCTCAAACCCTCATAATTTCAGGCATATTGAACTTCGTTATCCCTAAACCCTCAAAAAGCCCCGTTTAAGTATATTCTGTACTTCAGGTCTATTGTTGAGCTTCTTTAACCCTAAACCCTCATTAAAGTCCCTATGAACTGCCAAGGTCCTTCTTTGCAGTCGAGGACGCATCGAACGGGAAATCACGGCAGGCCCTTGAGGTCATGTTTTGTCCGATATGGGAGTTTCCGAAAAATTAGGGGCTACATTAGGGTTCCTTTGAAGAGTTACTCTAAGGGTAATTTAATAAGGGTTCCTTTAAAAACCCTAAACCCTAAACCCTAAATTAAAAGGCCTCTATAAGGGTGTTTAGGGTTTCCGATAATTATAGGGGTACCTTGGTTTTGGGGGTCCTTTTGATGAGGATCCTACTATTTAGGGTACTAGATACTAGATTAGGGTCCTCTATTTTCGGAAATTCCCATATATACGGATTCGAGTTTACATGCATGCCCAACGCGGTAGAATAGTAGCTTATGACATGTCGTGACTGTTTCGTATACCGAACCCTCAAAGCAGCGGGTTGTTGAATCTACACATACAGCGTTGGTCCCGTCCATGTATGGAGTTAGGCAGGTTTATGAGTCCAGGGAGTAAGAAGTGAGTATAGCACTCAGTGCATCGAAGGTATCTGAGACTGACTGTTGGTTGGACTGCACGTGTTTCGACAGCGTTTTGGTTAGGGTTCGAGTGCAGGTTTTTTTCCGCGCCGTGCAAGGCATGCTTGCCTGGTTTCGGGGAGTGAGCGTTTACTTGGAGGGGCAGGGACTTAGTAAGTAGGTTAACTCCTCTTAGGGTACTTAAAACTCTACTTATAACCTACTTACGAAGTCCCCTGCCCTTCCAAGTAGGGGTTGGGGGTTAGGGGGTTTGGGTGTTTAGCATGGGGTTTCGAAATTTCGGGCCTCAATGTCAGCACGCCCACGGCTACCTGAACCTGAACCTTATGAAACCTACATGTTTTGGGGCTCCCCACTCTGGATTCGTTACAAAAGTCTCGAGAGAGATAGGGTATTGTTTTGGATGCAGGTAGGGTTTAGGCACTCTAGAGCATGTGTCCCGCTCTATCGAGAACACACTCTCGCCTCCGCCACCCCATGCTGAAACGTTGAGGGCTGGTATCCATTTTGTTCTTTGGCCCCCTGACATCTTGATGCCAGTAGTAACAGCCCTCTATCGGACTAGTTAGGCCTGTGCAGTGCGCAGCACGTGAGGTCTACAGCACCGTGTTGGAGGGTGAGGAGGTCCTACAAATAGCCTGGAAGGAGGAAGAGTGCGTCTGCGACGGGAACTCAGCCTGCACATTTCACCGTAAGGGCCCATGTTCCCAAATAGCAGTACTTTGGCCCAATGTAGGTATATAGGCTTGGTAGCTGAGTGGATACACTTTACACATTTTTGGATAATACTACCCACTATAAAACTCAAAGTGCACACTGTTTGGGCTTATGTACTCAGCGACTAAGTAGGGACTGCTTTCCAGAGCCAAAGTATATACTATATAAGTACATGGACCGTTAGGTTCAGGGCACTCGCCAGCTTCCTGTGTCCTTACCAGAGGGTCCAAGTAGCGCTGCAGCATATCCTTCGGGGGCCCAAATACCTAGTCACCTAGTCAGTACCTGCTATAATGGTACTGCCCTTCGTTACTACCCTTGTTATGTCCCCCTTCTGCTTCCCCAAATGGTTCAAGTGCCAATAGAATAGGTACTTGGTAGATATTTGGGCTTCGAAGGTACATACTATACAATGCAACTACTCGGACACTTTCGGTTCTGTACGAGAGGTGCACTTCAGGAGCCTTGATAATTACCTATACTATTTGGGTCATCCCTTTAAAAGGCATCCTTCAAGGAATCCTATAAGGGTACTATACGATATTAATATAGTGGGCCTGATTGATTACAATAGGGTTTTGTGGGTCCTTATTATAGCTTCAAACAAATAGTTTACGGCAGGTTGAGGCGATTCCAGGCCTCTGTTTGGGATCCGGACACACGGAGATCATCAGATAAGGCTTCAAGGGCAGAGCGTAACATAGGGGATCCACAAGAACTAGCAAAAACTATCCCATAATATGTCTTGGGGCAATGAAAGGGAAGAACCCAGCAGCTCTAAACCTGCAGAGCCTAAAAATCAACATTCAATAGAACACAGGAGGTGAGCAGCACAGGCGGCCATAAAAGGGCTGGACGGTCAACACAGCAGCGAACCTCAACCTAAACTGAACCCTCAACCTGAAACCATGACCGTGAGCGAGCGGAAAAGGGCATTCATTAAAGAAAGACGCGGAACAAGAGGACCTGTAAGCTCTCTGCACCACCCTAAACCCCGACAGGCAGCTAAACCACTGCACTAAATCCGTAAACTCTGAACCCTGCCTAGCCCACCCTACATGGACCCTTAATTAGCGATTAATAATCCTAGTAATTAGTCGAGTAGGCAACCGTTAACTTTTTTTGGGTAGTATAGTCCCTATAGGATCCCTTTGTAACCAAAACGGTTAACCTTTAGTTCCCCATGATACACGACCAGTAGGCAATGCCCCTATATTAGACAGGTCTGTGATGGCGGGAGGACCTTCCACATCGAGCCCCAAGATGGCCGGGACCCTAGTTGCTCTTTGGTTTTAAATTTTGGGGCTCAGGGCTTAGGGTTTGGGCCTTAATTCGTGATGTTGTTTCGTTTTTTGTTAAGGTTTGGTGCAGGGTGGCTCAGGGCTTAGGTTTTGGGCCCTATGTTTTTTGGCATGCCGGTGCTTTTACCTTCGCTTTTCGGTTCTGCATGCCTTCGACAGCACAGGATTCCCCTCTGGCGTGTGAGTGAGAGTGAGTTTAGGGATGGGATTAGCTTTGAGTGTTTTCCTGTTTGTTGAGGGTGTTTTTTGAGTCTTGGTGTTCTATAGTGGGGCCTTACAGGGTTCTGTGGGGTAAATCGGTCGGGGGGGTTTTGAGGGTTTCGGGGGTTAGGGCTTTTAGGGCTTGCAGGGTTTCAGCGTTGGTGTTGGTCTGTTTAGTTGTGTTTGGTTTCTGTCTTTATCTGGGTATTTTGTGCTGGGGGCTTCAAAGAACCCGAACACGTGAAGTACTACATATAGTTCGAAGGAATCCGCTGTCAATTCCAGACGGCAGGTTAACCCTTGTCGGCATGTGGTGGTCATTCTGTCGGTGGTCTACCGAAAGCAAGGGAAGCAGTAGCAGCCTTTCACGCCACTTATTGTCCTTAAGCTGCCATTCCCCTAATGGTTCGTGTACCCAAATAGGGTTCCTTTAAAGGTTCTATAAGGGGTTGGGTATAAAGATCCGTCTACCCAAAATACCAGATACCGTGGCCCTAAAGTCGTCCCTACTTTAGAGCCAAAGTACATGCTGTGAGGTTACATGGACCCTTTGGGTTTAGGGTTCAGATTCCGTGCGGATTACCCGAGACAGGACCTGCTTGTCCTAGATTAGGTCGCCCTATGCCAGCAGACATACACTTGAGGGTCTGGACACCTTTCACCAACCCATAGGGTTTAGGGTCTAGGGTTACCCAACGATCATATACTCTCAAAAACAGTAATCTACATAACTACTAACCTAAACCCGAGTGCCTGAATATTGGGTCCTTTGGGCCCTTCAGGACAGGGTCCAAGTACCCAACTATTAGGGTTTCGGGTCCTAAATTCCAAAACTGACTATTTGAATACTTGGACCCGTGGGCAATGGACTAAACCCAAAGTCGCTATATGGGACTTTCCGAAAATAGGGGTACCGAATTTGGGGGTCCTTATAAGGATCCTACTATTGAGGGTACTATATTAGGGTCCCCTATTTTCGGAAACTCCCAGAAAAACCCTGCCACCATAAGTCCTTAGTTCTTAAGCCCTTGAACCTTAGTCCTGATGTCCTGAATCCCTTTGCCGCTGGGCAGGCAAGACCATGTGCATCCACGACGTCGTGGACTTCCAGCCCAGCTGCGCTGCGGCTATTCCAAGGAGTCATGGGCTTTTACCTAGGGGCACCTAGAAATAACTTTTAATTTTTGGTTATTATAATCCCCAAGAAACAGCCAAAATTTATGATTTTTGCTACGGTTCTAACTTCAGTATAGTTTAGTTGGGCCCCCAAAAGCACACAAGCAAAAAGTAGGATAGGGATATCCCATATAAAGCCCCTCTTAGTGAAGCCCAAGAAGGTAGGGATATCCCTATAAAATGCTTATGCTGATGTGGCTTTCGGGGGTCCCTATTTAGGTGTGTAAGGTTTAGGTGTTCGGGGCGGGTTACTTAGTAACTTCGAAGCTTTCAGGTGCAAACCCTGAACCCGAGGCCCTGCAGCTCCACAGGCCCTATAGTATCATAGGGATCCTTAGGGGTGTAGGGGGAGGGGGGGTAGGGGGCCTTAAGGCCCATAATAAGGACTAATAAGGCCTATTTAAGGAAATATAGTCCCCTACACCCCTCCCCCCTACACCCCTAAGGATCCCTATGATATAGTAGAAGCCCAAAAGTTGGAAACCCATTAGCCTCCTAAGAGTAATGTATAGGGAATCCCGCAGAACTAGAGCTGGGTCTTGCGGAGCATGTTGTAGAGCGGTTATAAGCAGCTCAAACAATGAGTACTTAGCTTACTTGTGGTATCCGAACCCTTGGCCATAAGCCCCAAGACATCCCAAGACCATGAAGCGATAATGAAGATGGTAAGCCTGGCAAGCAAGACAGACGGAACGATTGAGAATGATGAGCTTGGAGTTTAGGTTGTTGCATCTTACCCCCCTCGAAGCAATTCGAGAACGTCAGCATAAATGTTGTTTAGCTATATCCATGTCCCAACTTGGAACTATATGCCTTCGGTTCTACGTCAGGAGCCCTGACATGCAGCCCACCACCAGCCCTACACAATCCAAGAGTCCCGCAATCTAAGACAAAGGGCCCTGTTGGCCGGAGGACAGATCTTGTCCTGCTTGGCGGCGCCTCCTCTCACGAGGCGGGTGCTTCAGTCTTACACGGGCTTGAGGGTTTAAGTTTGCGGTTGACGGTTTCGGGGGTGAGTTGAAGGGTTTAGAGTTTAGGATTTGGGGGAGGAGTTCAAGGGCTCAGGAATTCTGGACCCTCTGTCTGTTGCTCTTTTGCGTGTGGTACCGGGAGGTGGCATCATGTCCCTGTTAGATAACCTACCATAGTAGCCCACAGGGATTCATTTAAGGATCCAGGTATGGCTTAGCGATTGTTGAGCAAATGGAAGTTCGACTGCCTTCAGGTTTGAAGAGGCTGGTACGCTGCTTTTCGGTGGAAGGTTCCATAAGGGCCTAAGGACTTAGGTCAGGGTGTTGTTCTCTGCATCTTTTACACAGACACGAGGGCTTTCGGTACAGATTTCAAAGACGGACGCCTAAAGACAGAAAACACTCTCACCACCCTGAAGCCCAAACCCAGTCCTAAACCCTGATTGCTTAAGCCGAAGCTCTCGACCCTAAACCCCAATCCCGGACATATATACCCCAAGCCCAAACCCCAAAACCCCACACTCTTAATCCTAAACCCCAAAGCCCTATAGTCCCTCGCCCCGAACGAAATTCCAGGACGACAACTTCTACAATTTGCTGGCCTGGGCCTGACAACCGCGAGGGAGCAATCCCTAGACCTCCCAGTGGGCCCTTTTTCACTTGTTTTAGTCCTAGGTTCCTTATAAGGTTACCCAACACCAAAAAGGGAGCCCTTTTGATTCCCAGGTATCTGGGCATCCTAGATCCTTGCTTAGACGGTTTCGGGTTTGGAGGTTTGCTGTTTCGGGGTTGACAGAGGCGCCTTGACAAAAGGAATAGGGTTTTTTTGGGGGGGTTCATTATTGTAAATTATGTTTGTATTGGGCCCCGAAACCCTGTTCAAAATAAATAGGCCCCTATATGGGGTTCATAATTACAAATATGACTACTATGATTGTATTGGGCCCCGAAAGCCTGTTCAAAAACCCTAAGCCCTAAGCCCTAAACCCTAAGCCCTAAACCCTAAGCCCTAAACCCTACACCCTATAAACCCCTAAACCCTAAACCCCTAAACCCCTAAACCCTAAACCCCTAAACCCTAAACCCTAAACCCCTAAACCCTAAACTATTCAGGCCCCTTTTTGTTGGTCGGCTTCGGGTTTTCGGGGCTGGGGGAGATCGGGGTTTCGGGTCGAGATTTGGGCTCGGGGATTTCAGGCCTCCTATGGGTTTATAGGCTAGGATGCCCAGTAGTACCCTTATTCCCTTTTTGTAGTCCTAGGTTCCTTATAAAGTTACCCAATACCAAAAAGAGAGGCCTTTTTATTCTTAGGTTACTGGGTATCCTAGTAGGGTTTCGGGAGTGGTGGGAAGCATGGCTGATACTATCCCCTAGTCTTACATATATATATATATACACATACGGCTACTGGGGTCAGCATTTCGGGTGGATAAATCGCAACGCCATCCCTAAGGGGTATTCGGGCCCTGCACATGTGCAGGTCCGTTCGTCCTGAGAGTTGAAATCACCGCTGAGCGTAAGGGTCCTTAGGAGAATTCAGGGCTTTGGGCTGCTATACGGGTTTCGATAACGATGAACTCAACCACATACACCTTTGAGGGGTCGGCCTACTAACTACGAGGTAAGAACCTACGATATCGGGAGTTCGTGTTTGGCGCTTCGGTGTGAACCCGCCATGAAGAGTTAGGCTCTACCATGATTTTACAAGTATGGGGGTCATAGCGAACCACGGTTTAATAGCTTTGGGTCACTCCCTTGTTCTGCAGAGCCCATACAGAGTAGGAAGACTGCACCAAGCCCGGTAACCTGAAGTTACGGTTTTGCTCAAATGTCTGAGGTCGTCGACACATCCTCCATGGAATCCTGGCAGATTTGGCCGGAGGATGTGCCAGAAAGTCGGCAGGACTGTGTCCACGCATGTGGTTAGGGTGAGGGTGGGACGGGCTTAGGTGGGTTTCTTAGTTCAAAGTGTCTTCTTTACTTCGGGGTGTAGAACTTTAAAACCTGGACTCTAAAGCACTGTTGTTTGACGGCTCGCTGGTAGCCTACAGTTTTAAACGTTCGGGTGTATGGCTTGGGGTTGTCCGACCGATTGCTAGGTTTCCCCCGTGCAAGCCTGTATACGCACACGTACTCAAGAAGACCCCAATGCCCTCGCCTAAGTGCGAAGGGGCCCTTGATTGCTATAGGTACTATAAGGGCCTTGATATTTATATAATAGGGTTTTGGGGTATATCTGTTGCTACAAATGTAGTGATATGCGGAACCCCCAAAACTGGTCTTGGTAACATTTAGGCCCCTATGTTGTGGAGTCGTGGCATTGTAAGACTCATGGGCCCGGTTGCTCAAGCTGCCCAGGCTATCAATACCATATGGGTGGTTGTCAAAATTAGGGTCCCTTTTTGGGTACCTAAATAATTGGTGCTGTGTGATAATAAGGACCCAAAAAGGGACCCTAATTTTGATAACTACCCATATGAACTGCAGGTAGAGTGGGGCTTCAAGAAGTTGCAGTATGATAGAACACACTTTGCCTCCCAAAAGTCATAAGGTCGCTTGGGGGGGTAGGGGGGAGGGGGGTAGGGGCCTTAGTACCTATAATAAGGACTTAATAGGGCCTGCTTCAGGAAGTATAGTCCCCTAGCCCGCCTACCCTAAACCCTGACCCCCCAACCCTAAATCCTAAACCCTAAACCCTAAACCCCTGAGAAGGAATGCCGGGGTTGTGTACGCTTGTGGATGGAGATACCATGCAGTCTCAGGAACAGTCGGTCTCGAAGGGTGGAGAAGGAAGCAACCAAGGCGGCAGTCATGGTCTGAACAAGGGTGAGGGTGAGAGTGGGAAGTGACGAAGTCAATGGCCTGGTGACCTCGTTGCTGAGTACCCGATTCGGCCGTCCGTCATCTGAGTCTGCTGCAGATTTTCGAAGGTTGATTGCCTCTTCAGGTAATCTGCCCGCCCAAAGGGGCTTTTAGGACGCTTCGTGCAGACTGAAAAAGGGCCCTTAAAAAAAAAAAAACCTGAGAAGGGTCCCTATGAAAAAGTCAAAGCCTGCAGCGCCTAAACCAATAAGCTCAAATTAAGTCACAGAGCTGTCGGCAGTCAGCACGGTGGTGGAACAAAGGTGGCCACATGAAACAGCAGAGCCTGAACATATTGTAGAAACCTAAACATTATGAATACTATGTTTGGGGCTCCTTGTTATTATTGTTGGTAGTAGTATTAGAAGTTTAGTTATAAGTATAGTGTGGTGGACCCCCAAACCCCATTCTAATTATTGCGGCCCCTGTATGGTGTGCTGAATGAATAACCGTAAGAAGGGGACCTGCAAGAGTCCTTCGCATGTCAAGTGCATTGTCGTGCCGGGAGGCAAAGCAACACTGGGGTTTCGGGAAAAGGGTGGATCACGTGAAGCCTTCAAGCCCTTTGGCGTAAACCCCTTAAAGCCCTGGACACAAATCTCGGGATTGTCATCTGACTTCTCGATTCTGTAACTTAGAGTTAGGCTAAGGATTCAGGAGATTTCAGGAGCTGACCTAAGCCAACACAGAGAAAGCGATAATATGGGGGCCTCAAGAATTATTGGTACCTATACTGTTCTGGGGGTTCTTATTATAACTATAACTATAGTATAATGGGCCCCAAAACCCTATTCCAATATGAAGGCCCTGTAGATCCCTTATCGACCCCTTTAAGGATCCCCTTTAAAGGAGCCCGATTCTAATCATGAAGGCCCCTACCTTATAGATCCCTTACAGTATCCCTTATAGACCCCTGTAAGGATCCCCTTTAACGGAGCCCTGTACTAACTATCAAGGCCCCTATAACACTCCCTTATAGTAACCCTCACAGGGACCCTTATGATACCTTTTAAAGGAATTCTGTTTTCATTATTAAGGCCCCAAGATTATCTGTGAGGACAAGGTCTTCTTCTCCTCTGCGCGTGGTCTTCAAGCGCTCTGGCCCAGATCTGCGCAGGCCCAAATGTCACCAGCACACACCCAAGCAGATACCCATGGGCTCCGTAGTAGTTCCTTTTTGGGATTACCTTATAGGACAACAGGAACTACTATGGAGCCTATGGGAGTTTTTCAGGTTTTAGGGTTTAGGGTTTATAAGGGTTTAGGTAGGTAGTTCGGTTATAGAGAAGATGATAGTTGGGGGGCATAAACCAAATTTTTAAGCTTAAACTTGCACTGGGCCGTCGAAAGCTCCAAGGAAACCCTGACCCACCCAAAACACTACAAGCCTAAATCCCTAAAACTAAACTTGACCCTGCCGGTCCGTGCCACCACAGAAACAGAAGCACACCCAACGACGTGCTTTTGGACTTAGGCTTTTGTTCAGGGTTTCGAGTTTGAGGTTGACGGCGTAAGGGTTAGGCATGTATTGCCGGGCTCAGGATTTTGTAGGAGTTTAGGGCCATGCGAGCTAAACCTTAAACCCCTTACCTTTAGAGTTCTGCAACTCGATCGGCGCAGTTCCGACTCGAAACATCGTCGGTTGACACGATAAGGCCGTAACGTCGGAAGAGCCGAAGGCATCGTCACAACACTGTATGTGAGGAGTAAGGGTTCTAAAAAAAGGTGGCCATATCAGGGTGACCATAAGGGTTCAGTCGAAGAGCTGTAATATGGGTTCGGCATGGTCTTCGGGCACATTTTTGTATACATCTGATATTCAGAAGCCCAAGGAATGCTATGGGCGACTGTTCCGGCTTTTATACCACAAGTACTCCAGTTCACTGGGACCCCCCAAGAGCACACTACCCTCCGTTGAAAATGGTTTTTTAGGCTATGATAGAGAGTAGTTGGGGGGTTAGGTGGGGTCCTATGAATGCACTTCTTGTGTGGGGTCTCATAAACCCCATATTTGTGCCTGCATTGAGACCGTACCGACATGCAAAAGGCACACGCCTAAACCCTAGGTATCATGTCACCTCCCACTGCGCCCAGCCGCAGCCACGTGAACTCTGTCGCCGCAACTAGGCAAACTAGAACTGACATGGAGCGAAGATGCCCACGAAACCATCATCTCTGCATCCACAACCTAAAGTCCTGAACCCTATACCCTCGACCCTAAACTCTGCATCTAGAGCCCTAAACCCTAAGCCCTCACCCTGAAGCCCTGAGCCCTGAGCCCGCCTGCAACCCCGAATCGTCACCTCCAGAATAAAGCTTCATGGACTACCCGGACCCTGGAAAACCTACCTTTTCAGGGCTCGTTATTATGGATTCCTTATACAAGCCCTTAAGAAGATAGGAAATTGGGGGTCCAGGTAAAGCGTAGGCGCGCCTCCAGATAAAAAGCCCTGAACCCTAAACCCCTAAACCCTTAAACCTCAAACTAAAGGGTTTATAACGGTCAATTAGGATCCGGGAGCCTCGATCGGCTCTTGCTTCAGCCCGCTGGCAACGCCATGGCGCTTAAGCTCCCTGCGGCCATGCAGTCGAGCGGCATGCTAACCCCTGTGGCCATGACGAGGCATCTTTAGGGTGTCTGGGTAGGGTTTAGGATTTAGGGTTAAGGGTTTAGAGTTCAGGGTTGAGGGTTTAGGGTTTAGGATTTAGAGTTCAGGGTTTAGGTTTCAGGGTTTAGGGTTTAGAGTTCAGGGTTGAGGGTTTAGGGTTTAGGATTTAGGGTTTAGGGTTCAGTGTTCCATGACAAAGCATCTTTAAGGTTCCCAGAGACTCCAATATCCCTTAATTAAGGAATATACCGTAAATTGTATATAGTAGGATCCCTGATATGACTTAAGGATATTTAAGGTATATTCCCTGAGCTATAACATACCCATGGGTTCCACAGTAGTTCCTTGTTGGGATTACCTTATAGCATGAACCCCGCATGGAACTACTATGGATTGTATGGGTATAGGTATTTTGAGGTTTTGGGGATTGCGGCTTAGGGGTTACGGGTTCAGAATTTAGGGGCTGCGCGCGAGGTGTTATACCAACGCTTGAGCGGTTGAGGGTGAAGATTTGGTCGCTGTCATCACAGTTGCTTCAGTGGTTTCAGGAGTTCAGAAGATTTCAGCTCAGAGGTATGGTTTGAAGTTCATGCGGCTTCAGTGTGCTTTGTTGCTTATGGCCGCCGTAACTTTATTTACATGGGTACCATTACTAGACTTCGCCAATATGCATACAAAGACCTGTTGGACTTTAGGGTCCTGGGTTTAGGATAGGGTTTATTAATAAGGGTCTAGGGCATCTGAGCTTCACAGCTATGGTATAACAAGCCATACTCCAGCGAGCCCGGTTCTTCCAAGTCCAAAATATTTACCTTGAGCCAGAATAAAATCCCGTGTAGTCCAAATGAGAATCCATGATCACGGGAGTTCGGGTTCTATAGGGGCCCAATGTTTTTTGTTCCTACGTCCCATACCCACAAAACCCGATCCCAAGTCTCAGCCAAAACCTTGCAAACCCACACCTTAACTAGGACCTGGAGTAGGCCCTTATTCCCTTTTTTTAGGGTTTAGGTTCCCTTCTAACACCCTTTAAACCAAAAAGGGCACCCTTTTTATTCCTAGGTTACTCTTAGGTCTAGTTAAATTCCGAAACCCTAAACGCAGACCTTGAACTCCTAAACCCTGCATCCGTAAATCCCCTCAATCCTCGCGGAAGCCTTTCTCGTCGGAGCCGGTGGGATGCAGCCTGGGCTTAGGGTCTATAGGGTTTAGGGATTAGGGTTCAGGGTTTATGGCTTAGGGTTTAGGGTTGAAGGTTTAGGTATTAGGGTTTAGGGTTTAGGGTTGAAGGTCTAGGGATTAGGGTTGAAGGTTTAGGGATTAGGGTTTGGGGTTTATGGCTTAGGGTTTAGGGTTGAAGGTTTAGGGATTAGGGTTTAGGGTTCAGGGTTTATGGTTTGGGGTTTAGGGTTGAAGGTTTAGGGATTAGGGTTTAGGGTTCAGGGTTTATGGTTTAGGGTTTGGGGTTTAGGGTTTAGGGTTGAGGGTTTGGGGTTTACTTAGGGGTACTTAGAAATAATTTGGTTATTATAATCCCTAAGAACCAGCTAAAATTATAATTTTTGCTAGGGTTCTAAGTTCAGTATCGTTTAGGGTTTAGCTAGCCAGGCCAAATCTGAGACACAGCTTCACCGCGAACGACATTTGCCCCACGGCCAACTAACATTTTGTGGAACAGAAGGGGGTACCTTTTTTGGGGGTCCTTGGGTCCTTAAAAAAAGGATCCTATTATTTAGGGTACTATATTAGGGCCCCCTATTTTCGCTAAAGGGCCCTTTTTAGAAGTCCTCAACCAGTCCTGGTAGACCCTCGTAGTAGCCTCAGAGGTCCTGCATTACCCATAATAAGGAATATCTCATAATTCCCATAGTTTAGGGTCCTTAACTAGGATGCCCAGTAGTACCCTTATTCCCTTTTTGTAGTCCTAGGTTCCTTATAAAGTTACCCAATACCAAAAGAGAGGCCTTTTTATTCTTAGGTTACTGGGTATCCTAGTTAAGGTAATGCAGGATTTATATCATCCACCGTACCCATCGGGATGACCTACCTGGGTCATTTCGTTGTTCATGTGGGTAGTTGTCAAAATAATGGTCCCTTTTGGGGTACCCTAAATATTATTTACGTGCCGTATTATAACAGGGACCCAAACAGGGACCCTAATATTGACAACCACCCATGTACAGCCTCTTGATGGAATAGCTGCATCGGAAGCTTCTGCGGCTCAGCGTAGCCGGAGCTTGAAGACGAAGAGCACATAGTGGTTCAGAAGTGGAGGGCCTAAAGAGCTACCAATACTGCAGTTGGGTTCCTTATACTATGATTGTAGTCGAATATGAGCCAAAACCTTATTGTGATTCTTAAGGCCCCTATATTTAGCCTTGAATGGCGCATGCAGTCATGTTGCATAATTATCTCCCTTAGTTAGCCAAAATTGCCGAACATCGCAGAATAATGTGGGATGCACGAGGTGATATGTTGAAATCTTTCTTGGTGTTAATGCATTAAATTACGAGTCATCTTAGGATAGTTGAACCTGAGACCCTTTTGCGCCCCGTCCTTAAGGTACGCAGAGCATCCCCTACTAAAGTACTTGTATATCTACACTTCTATATTATATGACTTTTGGACCTGGACCCTGATTGGGCTTATCTGCATAATTAACCTATGTAGAGACCCGTGTCAGACCGGCGGATGCCTCATCTCAGGTTCTATGGATCAGACTGCAAAGTTGGGCTTACCTGTCCCCGTGGTTTGTCCGGATCCTTGTCGGGTTTAGGGTTCAGCGTTTGAAGGGTTTAGGGTTTAGGGTTTAGGTTTCAGGGTTTAGGGTTCAGCGCTTGGGGTGGGAAGGCATTGGAGTCTGTGGATGTCTAGGACTGGGATAGTAGGGCATGTTTTTAGAATTTGTCATCCCCGGAGACTATACGGGCCTAAATTCCCAGAGGTCCCTACATAAGTATAATATGATGATGTACCCCAAAGCCCTTTCCGAATGGTAAAGGCCATGGTCATTTTCGAAACTATCGTCTTCTCGTCCTTGCGTGCAGGCATGGTCTGGATGGTGCCGGATCCTGTTGGGTCAGATTTAGAAGCCGAACTGTATATGACTTCAGGGCTTGCTGAAACAGTACAGGTATCGATGAGTCCGAAGAGTCCGCACCTAAACCCTAAACCCTAAACCCCTAAACCCTAAACCCTAAGGCCACTGGGCACTGCATGAGGCAGGCCCTGTAGAGTCCTAGCAGGCCCTTCTGTAATCCATGCACGTCCCCTGTACTCCAACTCTTTGTGCGGACCCTAAACCCTAAACCTCAACCCCAAAACTTATGAACCCCAACAAACCCTATAAACCCTAAACCCCGAACCCTATAAACCCTAAGCCATAGAACCTAGAAAGTGCCTTCCAGGCTAGACATCTCGAGAGTCTGCCCCGGCCCATCAGAAGACCATCTTTAGAAAGTAACATCTTATGGAGATTAGTGCTTGTAGGGTTCCTTTACAAGGATCT